TTGTTATTTCTTTATTGGTGATGGAATGCTGGTTTCAAAGTTGCACATTTGTCGAACTGTCAGTAATTATTCTCATCGTATCACACGGGGTCGTTCCTGCTTGTAACAAAACAAAATTGATTCCATTGACGAGCAATTGTTGATCATCTTAAGGAAAATTAGAGAGTCAGGGAAAGTTTCCCCGCCTTTTGGCGAGTAATATTAAAATAAACTCCTCAATGGAATTAGTTTCATCAACTAGAAATAATAAACAGTAGAACGAATGTATTGGGGGAGTATCTGAATTGGCCTAGAACAAAAGTTGAGAGCGAGAGAGCGCGGAAATGGTGAAATAAGCTATATTTTCACACCAAGTTTCAATAACAAGAGATTACAATGGAATAATCAGAGAAATGAAAAAAAAACGGCCAGGTGTGCATGATTGTTGGATTGTTTGACGCAAGAGGCGAGTAAGGAGAAAAAGAAAAAAAGCGCAAATGGGTATGTGGTCGGTTTGTGATTAGGTGGTACACGTCGGGGGCGACAGAGTACAACTGCCACCTCGAGTACCTCGAGTCCCTCCCCCGTGGCGAATGTGAATCCGACTGTCGGTGCACCGCCTCAGCCGTCGCAGCAGCAACAGCTGCCGCCGGTTCAGACGAGCGCCCCACCAGTCTCACCCACTGTCTCAGCTCCCAAGGAGGAACATCAATTGATGACCGTTGGATCACCATCAGCTGTAACATCACCAGGATCAATGAGGCCAGACGTTGGCATTCCAGCTGGATTAACGGGTAGTCTTGTTGGTAATCCAATGGGACCAACTGTTGGTGGACAAACAATCGATAAGAAGACCGGTAAAACACCACAGCCATCACCCTACTGTGATTTCTGTCTTGGTGATGCTAGGGAGAATAAAAAAACTGGTGGTTCCGAGGAATTGGTCTCATGCAGTGATTGCGGTCGTTCAGGTAAGATTGAGGAGAAAACGAAGCGCAAGTATTCGAGACGGGCAAATCACAATTAATTTCGATACAATTTTTTTTTGTTGATGAATTTCAAAGTTGATTATTTCGTTACGCATTTCCAATTTTTTTCGTTCAACTACGAAGAAATATTTTTCTTTCGTTGATATCTTTTTTTTTTTTTTTCGTTTTTATCGTTCGTTTCGTTCTTGCAACAGGAGTTTCTCGTCTCGTTTTCCTTCAGTTTTTTAAACTCTCGCTTTCCTTCGATAAGGCTGTGCTCATCAATCTTCGGGGATTTATTGTTCATTCAGTGGTGAGGTGTTTGCTTTATAATCTTGTTTCTTTGATTTAATTTTGATCCTCTGAAGGGAAGAGTATCTGCTGGTTTCAGCATTCATTCGTTGAATGAATGAGCTCTCGAAGCGAGCATTTATTTTTTTCTCAGCTACTGTTGATGGATTCTGGGCGTGCAATACCGAAAAATCGAGGAAATCATGAGCTTTATACATTAAAAAACAAAAAGGTTTGAAACGTACCACTGGAATTTTTCATTACACACTAGTCAAAGCAGAAATATCAAAACATCACTTTATCAATGGTGCAATTCTGTCGCATCTGGGTAATAGGAATTTCGAGTGATTCCTTTATCGAAATAAAACGAAGAATTGTGGGAGAATAATCTTCTGGAAGATCGAAAAAATGGACAAAATGCTACGGAGATAACTGTGATTTACTCTAAAACACAATTGAATAGTTGTAAGATAGAAATTTTTATAGAACTCAAATAACCAAAAGGAAGTATGTACAAAGTTTAATATGATCATAATGGAAAAACTTTGTATTGAAATTCTATCGACAAGTGGATGAGAATTAGCATTTAATAATTGACGTTTTTTTTTAATTCTAAGAATTGGGAGGTCAAAAATTCCTGTTGCACAGTTTCACTAGAGCACGTCATTGAAGAAGATATGATTTGTCAGCTTTCCGACTACAGTGTATCTAATTTAATCGATAAAAAATATCTCTTTCCATGCTTCATCCTTTCATTCATGAGTGGGCATTATCATTTAATCTATTAAATTTCTTTGGTTTTCATCACTGTTGAGCGTCACACGAGGCACCCAATAGGAAAATCATCTTCACGTAGAAGCATCTCAGAAGTAGATTAGTTTTCTACGAATTTTTATATTATTGTAACCCAAGAAAATTCATTTATCAATGATTTCGCCTCCAAGAGCACAAACTTGCTTCCAATATCAATCTATCATATTTTCTCACGTACGTGAACATTGCCAGGAATATTGTAAAAGACCAATGCGTACGTGAGAAAATAAGAAATCTCCAATAGAATGTATTACAATGGTGTAATGGAAATCAAAACAAACGAAACTAATATAACAAATTTGTATAGAACGATGAGCTTGTCTGGCATATTGTGTCGTATTCTCAGTAATTTGAGAAGAGAGAAAATTGTGAGAACAAAACGAACCAATTAATCATAAACAAATTGAACAGTAATAGTTAGAAGTGAATAATTTGTCCGAACAAAAACAAAATAGCCGTAGATAATTCATTTTCTCGAGTAAGAGAGTTATAGTTACATGAAGAAGGCATGCAAAGGAAATAGTTCCTCCTTGTTACGAGAAATGATGATCAATGAAGACTTGTTATTAGGCAATTTTTATTAAGCAATACCCACGAAGCTTAGCGTGAAATGAAGGAGAAAATGTAACATTTAAGTACCACCTACTTATTAAAATAAAAGGTAGCTATTAAGTATGATGAGTGAGTGAGAGACGTGACAAAAAAAATATAAGAACATGAGATAATTAGAGAGATGAATTTTGCGTGTACTAAGCGGGAGAAAAATGTGATCTGCGACGTTTATATTGTGCTGCGCAAGAAAGAACGTGAACTTTTCCAAGGTACGCCCTGCTGATTACTTTTACCATCTTATTACTCCAAACACTAAATAACGGTATGTTCAAAAACGTCAGAAGGAAAAAGAAAAATAAATACGACAAAGGATAAAAAGAAAACCAATTGCAAGCAATTTTATCATCAAATAAAAATACTTTGTGCGGAAAAAAACATGATAGCGTTTCATTATTCCGGACGTTTAGTGCTGAGGAAAGGTGAAAGACATAGTTGATCGCGGATTAATGAATTCAATTTTTTTAATCTGTGATAACAAAACAATATAAGCATTTTATCTAGAAAGAAATGATAAAATCATATGTTTTGGATATGAAAAAAAAATGAATTTCAAAAATTTTTCATTGCAAAAAAATTTATGCCCGCGAGAATGATAAAAACGATAGCTTGGAGTTCACTGTTCTTCGGCACAAGATAAATGTCCTGGCACCTTTCCGCTGGCCGCATCCATCGTCAAGTCTCCCAGCTCCATCATCCTGTGCTTTCTTATTCCTTGACACCAGTGTCGTTCTTGTTATAGGGCATCCCACTTGTTTGCAATTTACTGCAAATATGATCGTTTCTGTACGTAAGTACAGGTGGCAGTGTATCGAGTGCAAGTGTTGTTCCATATGTGGCACATCTGACAATGACGTGAGTATTAATATTATTTTTTTTCCCCTCCTCTTGCCATCGACACGAAAATCACAGACTCATCATTTTACCTGTCGATGTTACCGATGAGTTGGGAATTCTCATAATTTACTCATCGAAAGATCATTGAGACGAATTATTGCCGAATGAGAGTAGACTCTTTCATCTACCGAAAAATTCCCAATGTTCGATTGAAATTAATCCCCCGGATGATCAAATTAGGATCAGTTGCTGTTCTGTGATGACTGTGATCGTGGATACCATATGTATTGCCTATCCCCACCTCTGGCAACTCCACCCGAGGGTTCCTGGTCGTGTCGTCTGTGCATTGCCGAGTTCCATCGACGCGATTGAGCCACAAGCTGAGAGAATCTTGCAAAATAATGATAAAAAAAAAATTACAAAGTAACATGGGTGCTGATGGTCATACTCAACAATGGTCGCTCGAGTGAATCCCTCGTGGCAGCTGTTTCCGTCGTTATAAAAAAAGGGCCTCTTGTACGTACTCTTGTTTCCTGCAACCACCTGTTGGAGGATCGGATGATCCGAGCAAGAGTCATCTTTCAATTGAAAAAGAATTTTCATTTTTTCAAATAAAAAATTCAACTCTTTCTCATAGTTTCTAACTTAGTAATTCTCATCTTCTTCTTCTACACTGATTATCACGATGCATTTTACATTGGTAATAGTAAATTTCTCAACGACACTGAAGAAAAAAAATAGTTAAAACGCGAAATAGTAACGCAGTAGTTATCAGTTTCACACGTGATTTTAATGGTTATTACGTCTCAGGCGCTGGTGATCTCAGAAGTATAATTAATCTTGTAACTAATTAACTCTGAATACTGTAAAGAATTTTATAAATAAAAGAGAACAATGCTCCTTAGGTAGAATCGAGAATTGAAATCCAATGGAGAAAAACAAAAACAAAGTGAATGATAATTGTCCGTAAGTCAAGATTGAGTAAAAAAATGAATGAAAGTTTTAATGAATTATACACCCCAGGCTCAGCTGAAATCTTTTTCTATATTAAACAAAGTAATAGAACTTATAATTGTAGCCAGAGATGGAGACTGATTCGCAAATCAATCGAAACCGTTGTAACGTCTTTCAAGATTTGTCGTGAAATAATGTGAAATGAATTTAATAATATTAAACATAATGGTGTAAAAAAAAACGTATGGACAATATAGTGAAACTGAAAAGAACTAGCTGGATGTACGATAGATACGACAATACCTTCTAGATAAAAGAAACAAAAATGTAATTAACAGGAATTTCATTTGAATTATTTCAGTTTTCTTTGAATAGTTTTAATTTAATTGTCAAACTCAACTCTTCTGACTGATTCTCATGGACATGAAAACGCAGTGATGGAAAATTTCAAGAATGCCATAATACTAATAATTTACTTGACGAGTGGACACAAATTTGACATTCGTGCATAGATAGAAGGTTGTCTCTTCATCTGTATGTATCATAATATTCAAGCTTTTACACTTAAAAAAAAAATATCGTGCGATAACTGTTTAGCCCTAACACACCAATCAATGCAAACGAATGGAGAAAGAGGTGAACCAATGATTTAACGAAAGTTTGAGGAAGAAAGGCCGAGAATAACGAGAAACAATTCTGGATAACCGTAAATGCAAGTTTTTTCCTTCCCCCCAACGCCGGATGATTTTTCATTTCAATTGTTGTTCAGCTCAGTATTTTTATATTTTATATACATGGAGTGTACTTAAGTTAAGTTGCAAATGATGAAAAACGAGATTGAAACATGGAATTGTACATTAAAACTAATCACCTGAATTTAGAGATTAATTGATCGATTAATCATGCGAATGAGATTGTATTTTGAGTTGATCATTACTGGTGATTCAGGATTCAATTTTTTATATCGCTTATTTTCAATGATTGTACGCAAATTGCTAATAAATGATTAGTTTCTACTAACTGCCATATTCATTAATGAGGTAATGTATAAAATATATTCATCAATCATTCAGTCAAATTTCGACTAGAATATCGCCGAGTGGTTTTCTGTGAAGATTTGGAATGGTCGCGTCAACAGCTGGATATCCAACTGGAAGTAATAGACAGAGTTTTTCAGAAGGGGGTCGACCCAGAAGGCTTCGCAGTGCTGGTCCACAGTTGAGGGGCGTTGACGTCAGTGTAACGAGCCCGGCATACTTGGAATAATCAAGTGAGAATAGGCTTGCATTAAACTACATCAATCTCTTAGAATACCATAACTTCTTCAAACGTGAAGTCAACGCTGTGAATTCACATTTGCCAACTCCACATTTTTTCAAAATCCACTCTAAATACCTGGATTGCCGTGAGGAGCATGCCACAAGCGATAGCCACACTCATCTCATGGTAGTAATGAATTTTCCTTTTGCCATCGGGCAGAACCCCATAAGTCTGCTTGAATACCAAAATCAGATATGGAGCTGTGGTGAGATACTCCTTAACCCAATTTGTCTTGAGTGGTGTCAAGTCAGTCGTCCATTTTTTGCCCATTCGCTTGACATAATTGAGCCTCTCCTCCCTCTCAACCACCTCCCTTATTTCTCCTTTCTTCTTATCATCAGAAACAAGAACAAACGTCCACGGCTCGGTATGAGCACCACTCGGTGCAGTGCCTAATCACTCGTGAGAAATTAAATTATTTCCACCATTCAAGCGCAATACCGTGTGGTGAAAAAATTCCATGCTTACCGGCTGCTCTAATAATGTCACGGATAACACCGAGTGGCACGGGATCAGAGCTAAAGAATCTGACGGTCCTTCGTGCATTGCAAATCCCGTAGAATTCCCTTGCACGATTTTTCAATTCCTCCTCGGGCGGTCTTTCATAAATGAAGGGAATATGCACTAGATCTTTGGGCAATGCAGGTAAGTCCTCGTCCTCGTTCGATGTTTTTTCAAAGATATCTTCCGTGTTATCATCCAATTCTCTTCCCCTTTTACGAGCAAGTAGCACATTTGTAAAACAGTAAGACGCGATCCCCAGAATTACGTAATACCAATATTTGGAGCAGAATGGAAGTACCTCGGAGATCATGATTGGTTTCTTTTTGAGCACTTGCTCTTGAATTTTTATTCCACTAGAGCGTCAGGCGATACAACGGTGACTGGCTCAACTCGAGATAAAATACAACTGGTAAATTATCTCTCGTTATTTCGACACATTTTCTACTCGTTCCTTTCCCTTTCGCTGGATTGATAATGGAGGCACATCATGTCATTCTCGTTTGCCATCGCATGAGTATTTTTAATCGAGAGTGCTTCTACTTGCGGTTGACGGTATTTTTGAGCTGCGGTAAAGCTACAAGTGGACTGGATGACATTTATACTTCTCCCAGCGGACGCTGAAGTCGTTTTAAAATGTCAAAAACATGTGGTACCCCATCGCTGCCCGATAAACGATCCCTCATTGTTCGACGCTCGCGAGAGCATCTTTCCGTGTTCTCTGAATAATCCATAACGACTACAATTTCCTTTTTACGAATTTCGGGGGTTCCCCTGCTGCCGCAGCATTTCGTGCAGATCATTCGAGCGGAATGAGCGGCCCTCCAGACATTAAAAAAAAATAATGCCGTAGAAATCACGGAGAATAAACCGATGATTTTCATTTTTAAGAATTTATATATATCTGGAATACCCGGTACTCACCGGCTCGAGCCAGTGGCGCCGCCACCGCAACATCTCAGTTGGTTTTTCTTGGCATCTCGAGCCGTGTATAGAAAATCCACGAATCTCCTCGTCCCTGATATGACCAACGACCGGTTGTCAGTTTCCAAAGGCACGAGACCAATTGCGTCGCACTATTCACATTAATAAGATTGATCACCGGAAAAAAAAGAGCAATAATTTGATCTGAGAGACTGAGAAAAGATGCTAATGACAGCAGTGAAAAAAAAAACGACGATTAAAATAAATTAAAATAACGAAAAATCCTAGTGATGATGGGACTCATAATTTATGTGACTTTTTGAGCTGTAATCAGATACATTGCCATGAGGCCAGTGCGCTGCTCACACACCGCTTGTGAGATGGAGCCATTCGAAAATAGAATTGTTAGTTTTTCCGGTTGACGGCGCAATTTTTTTAATCACCTCATCAAGTTTTTCAATTGAATATTCCTCCGTTCGTTGATATTTATTCATTAAAATTTTCCAATGTCAAGTGTAAACATAACGGTATTGCGTAAAATCTGGAGATAGGGTGGAACATGAAGGGAATTTAATTGAAATGATTGTCAGGGCTCGTCAGTGATCGGACGTTTTGACAAACATTGAAGGGACAACAGAAGAGAGTGGGCTTTATTATCAGAGTAGGAAGAGGGGTAGGGAAAAGAGGAGGATGGAGAAGGCCATGCAACCACCCCTACCACCGCCACCACTGTCTCAGGAGGGCAATATTTTGGCCGACAAGAGCACCAGTGAAACCACTGTCACACACGTTTTGACATTTGGTATGAATGCACATGTTTATTTGAGTAATGCTTGGGCTTTTTTATTTCTTGACTAACTAGGTTAGGTGTGCCTGCGAGAGAATGGATCGAAGTTAAAGCTGAGCGCACGATATTCTTTATCAGTCTATTTTTTTTCATCGCTACGAAAATAATTAATTGTATTACTATTTACTGGATTCTCTCAATTTCATCGAATTTTACGGACTATTCGAGAGAATTCTTTTATTAAACTGGTTCTGGGGATGGGTGAGCTTCGCGAGAATAAATTATTCATCTCAATATTTCGGGGAATCGGGATAATTAAAGATGTATTCTGTGAAAAATTGGCGGAACTTGTTAATTTTTCATGGGGAAAGTTTTCGCTGAATTAGTCGGGAATAACGATTGAATCGCTTTTAATTCGCTTTCGATAACTTTCACGGAATATTATGCATTGAATTTATTAATCGCAGGAAAAACCATAATATCACCTGTATCGATCAAACTTCATGCTTCACCGTAGTTTCGGTATTGAATGGTCTTTATGTCGAGTGGAAGTACGATTTGAGAAATCTGAGAGCTAACACGATATTGCGGATACAAGGAGCAATGTAATTGAGAATAACATATGCAATGCATAAATTATCGGTGGAAAAACTAGTGATTAATGTCAGGAGACTATTGAGTTAATGGAATCGTTGAAAAAAAATGTCTGGAATAATCGTATTGCAGGAAGTCTAGTCCGGCGAAGAATAATATAGAGTCAAGGATAGTATAGATGAAATAAACAATTGAAAAAGACGAGTTGAACTCAGAGATTGTTTGCCTTGGGGGGGGGGGAGCTCTTGATTGTCCACTCATTTTAAACACCTTTTGGCACATGACACACCGTGAGTCATCAGGTTTACGTCACCGCACATCCGTACTGCCCCCGAAAAACATTTAGAATCACAGCTTCTTTGTGCTTCAGAGATAATGACTTGCATTATTGTCCGAGAAATTCATGTTTTGCTGAAAAAATTATTGAATTCGGGAATATTTATCGAATTTTCAGTTGAGAATGCAACATTCTAGTAGAAATGAGCGAAATATTCAGAAACTAATGTAATTTTTTCTAGACTCATTGCATTTATTGTTAAAATTTTTAATTTTTCCGAGTGGAGTTGAGAAAAAAAAGTGGAATAAATGAGCGAAAAACTAAATGAAGAAAAATGTATTGAATCTAAACGGAATCAAGAATATCTTCTGAAGAATTGAATAAAAACTGGATTTCCAATCGTAGTTCGTGCTCCTATATTTAGCCTGCGAAATGACTTATAGTGTTCTAAAAAAATGCTGATCCTCCAGCCAATGAATAAATCTTTGAAGCACATTCTGCAGGAATGAGAGCACATTATTTGTCCGATTGCAAATGCTGGTTTTGCAAACAAGAAATCATGGCAAATATGTTGAGAAACTCGAGACTATCTGTTATCTCGAGCTGGCTAACGACTTTAGAGGAGAATATCCATCACTAGGCTGTACTATTCGATCTATCCCTGAATATTGTCCGGTGAGGCCCTAAATGCCAAAGAAATCCAATAAAATCCGGATTCTTAATGACCAACTGTCCCCTACATTAAGTCCGAAATGACTTGTGATATTCCAAAAAATGCTGATACCGAAAAAACAACCTCCCACAAACGTTCGACAACACATTAATCATAAATCACAATACATTGTTTGTCCCATTAAAAAAACAAAGTGCTTATCACAACTCGCTCATTCAAACTGCGAAAAAATATGGTTTCTCAGCTGCAGCAGAGGGGCCCAATGAGCACTGACTTCGCTCCTGAAATCTCTTTCCCCCACCCAGCAATCCCCGTGTTTTCCAAATCAGCTGTTATTCCCCGACGTTCTCGTGTCGGGTGGCTTGTCGGCCTGTATCGTTCGAATGCCATACAACGGCGCCGAGGGAGGTGAGAGAGTGAGGGGCGTATTCAGTTGGTCGGCAGTGAGCCTTCGTGCCACTTCGTGCTCCACTCTACGTACCAGTGGTGAACCCCCGTTTCCTCTATCAATTTCTCGGAGCATATTTTTTCAAATTTAAACAGTCCATTTAAACTGGCAAGCATCTCCGATACCGTAAAATATCCTTGACAATATTGATAAAAAGACTGTGAGAAATTGTGAATTATATATTCCATAAAAGACAGTGAAAGTTGCGGGTGAAAAGTGCCTGAGAATTCCACGAACAAGGTGTTTAAAGGGAATCCCGTGCTAACACCTGGCGCGTGCACCAAAGGTTATTCAATGAACCCCAGTTGACCCTCCGAATTCCCCGTACGCACTCCAGTAAATCCCCCCCCCCCCCCGAAATCGGCGGGTGGAAACTTCCGTGAAGGGAAATAATTCCCCTCCACTGAATAATAAATACCTCGAAACAACATGAGAATAAGACTAGATTGAAATTACACTGCTGCTATTAGATATCGTCCAAAAAAACTTGAGGGATACTCTCGGAGGGGTGCCAGGAGTGCGTTCACCCAAGTGTACGTTCACGAGGAATATAAAAAAACTCGGAGCATTTGATTTGCGTGAAATCCGGTAGATTGAGGTGGAAGAAAAAACAATTAGTTTCCAGTGGATAACAGCCTTGTGTTTCCTTCCCCGGAAGACTAAAAAAACCGTAGATTGCATCGGCACGTCGAAATTCCCCACTTCCATGTCGATTGCGGTGGATTACGAAACGTTAAATTTCGTGGACAAAACGACTTTCGTGCGTGCTAAGGTCTCGGAGAGCTGTGAGAGAGGGAAAAAAGAAGCCTTGTCCCCGTTAAACTGTGTCAGTAGGATAACACCAGATACTGACTTGCATCAGGACACGAGTGTTTCATGGAGTGTCTGAGGTATTGTCGATGGAATTGAAATAATTAACGCGGAAAAATTCGGTTTAGAAGCAAAATCTAATAAATCTCGTGCTTCGATCAACCGTGAGCTTCAAGGCAAACGTTCCGTCCACGTGTCGACACTTTGATCACGTTCTCGTCTCGAGGCACGTGGGTAACGTTCCCCACACACGCAGTAGTTTTAGTCCTGCTGTTTGTGAGCGATCATGCGCACGAGACGGATGTAGTGACGAATAAACACTTTGTTTTCCTGCAATTTTGAGAAACTGAAATTACGGTAATATCGAACTATTTTCCCCACGTATTTTCTGACACTTCTCGGGGTTCTTCTCGCGAGGATAAAAAACAATACGATTGTTCGGAGTTGAGTGATCAGGAGAGGTCGGAATATTATACTCTGTTGAGCTGCTACATCTGAATCGAAAGTAAAAATAAAAAAACCCCGCAGTGGCACATGATTTATGCGTCTATCAGTGGACAAGTGATGAAAGAATGCAGGATTCTTAGCAGTTGATTGGGGGAAGGTCAGTCCTTCTGGTCTAGGAATATCTATTGTCTCTATTGAGATATCTGGGAATCGGTATTTTTGAAAGAATGAAGAATCCAGAGCACGAGAGTGGATACTTTGAGGATGGGAGTGATGTCGAAATTGTTTTTGAGGAGAATGCTGTTGGGGATGAGAGAAAATGGGGCTCTGGATCGTATGGACTCTCTAAGGCCATACGACAGCTTGACGTCACTGATTCACCCGCATCGCCGGAGCCCGTCGAGGATGAGCAAAATCAGAACGGAGGTAGTTATTGCAATTATTGTTCACTCGTTAATTTTTATCAACGAAAACGGTAATGTTCGGGGGGTTATTCAATTTTAATGAGCCAAAAATCGATCAAACTTCGGTGACTCTTTTTTTTTCATTCCATGCTGTAAAGTTCAATTCAACTCGAAAATAGAAGGGGCATTTTAAATGCCTTCGGTATCAATTCTCTCCGATTAAGCTTAACTCGCGGTTCACACACAGAGGTCGATTTCCATTTTGATATTCCCACTCTTGAAATCCTTTCCCCTCACTTTCACTCAACAAAACTTCAGTTCTCTCGAATCAATTCCTTTCATCAATTATTCAACCACCAGCAAAATCGGGAGAAAATATGAAACAGTGGACATTGAAACGAAAAATCCAAAAATGAAATTGCTGACAGAGTTCGCCTTGTAGGCATTAACGAGGCTGAATATCTTGGAGTTCGACCTCCTTCGCCTTTTTCGAGAGCAATGACTGTACTGCCCCCCCCCCNGCCCCCCCCCCCCCCGCCCAAAATAAAAATCTCAATCTTATTAATTATCCCGCATTTCATAAACTTATTTTTTTCTCTCGTTCTTACGATACAATATCATCAATTGGCGTCAGAGATATGACTGCACGTTTGCATAAACAGGCGAATAATGCAGTCAGGAGGGAATAATAAGCGAAGAAAAATAAAATAACGATGTGGAAATTTATTGGAGTTATTTTGAAATTATATTTGGATACCATGGAAAGTTGGGAGACTCTGGGGAGGCATTGGATGACACGTGGCAACATATGGTGGCTCAGTATCAGCTGGTGTTGCTCAATAAATTTGAATTCCATATTTCGGTTTCTATGAGAAAAAATTGGGTGAAAGAACTCGCGCATTCGGATTACCAGTGATTTGCTCAGTATATTTGCGTCAATGCAGGTCTATGCAGAGAAGAAAAGAGGATAAAAAAAATTGAGATATTGTTTTCCTTCCATTAAAAAAATCGTCCAGTCTGTTTTTGGGGGAACAATAACTTGAATTTAAGGATATCCAAGCATTTTAGTTATTTTTTCTTCAGTGAACTGATTTTCTACTTTTGTAGCCGAACTTCAGAGCTTTCATTTGAGTCCTATTTGACCCTAATCTTCCGGACATTTTACAATAATTTTATTATTTAAACTTTGCAGTGTCTGAAATTGAATCTCGATATTGAACCGTCAGAAAATATTTTTAAAAAGGCCGTGACTATTCGCACCATTGCGTGAATCACTCCCGTACACTCCATACACTCCACGCATGCGTGAAATTTGTGTTTCACGCAGCCGAATTTTCATACTGCTGTGTATTTCACGCAGTTGAAGTTTCATACTACTGTGTGTTTCACGCAGTTGTATTTTTATACTACTGTGTGTTTCACGCAGTTGTATTTTTATACACCTGTGTGTTTCACGCAGTTACATTTTGATACGCCTGTGTGTGTGTGTTTTTTTTTTGGCTCAAATGAAAGAGCGGCTCGAAAAATGGCGTGCAGAAGTCTTTAAAGATGACAATTGTCTCTAAAGATGATGTCTGTTTTCAATTGAAAAGCGCAATTGTGACAACATTGTCCAGTGGGGTCTAGGAGTCTCCCCTGGTTCAAAACCATCTT